GGTCCCTATACTAAAGTGTTACCAAAAGTCTCATATGCTTACTAAAGCTCAACTTAAAAAATTACTTTAAAATAATTTTCACTGAGAAAATGCCATTAAATGTACAAATAATTACAAAGTAATGGCAAATAACAGAAGTTATTTGAAGTAGAAAGACAGCGAAAATAGAAAGAAATAGTGTTTTCTTGTAAAACATACTCCAATAATTTATATTTACAACCTCAAAAATATTTTTTCAGTGTGCATTTATTTGATAAAAAAATAGTAAAAAAAAACAGTAATATTGCTAAATATTATTAAAGTTTTAAAGAACTGTTTTCTATTTTAATATATGTTAAAATCTATTTCTGCGATGGCAAAACTGAATTTTCGGCATCATTACTCAGTGTCACATCATCCTTTAGAAATCATTATGCTAAATTGTTGAATAGTTGTGCTGCTTAATATTTTTGTGGAAATCATGTTTTTTTTTTTTTTTTTAAAGATTCTTTGATGAATAGAATGTTGAAGGAATAGGTCACCCAAAAATGAAAATTCTGTCATTAATTACTCACCCTCGTGTCGTTCCAAACCCTTAAGACCTTCGTTCATCTTTGGAACTCAAATGAAGATATTCTGATGAAATCCGAGAGCTTTCTGACCCTGCATAGACAGCAAGGGTCCTACCACGATCAAGGTCCAGAAAGGTACCAAGACCATCGACAAAATATTCCATGTGACATCAGTGGTTCAACCATAATTGTACTTTTTGTGCGCAAAAAAAAACTAAAATAACAACTTTATTCAACAATTCTACTCCTCCAGTTCCATTTTGGAGAGTATCAGGTAGGGCTGGGCTATATAGCTAAAAAATGTATCAACGATATAATGTTTCATATCGTTCAGTATCGATAATTATTGACATTTTTTATAACCTTTTTTAAAACAAAAAGCAATAGAAAATGTTTAAATTTAACCACTGTGTTTATAATTAACACAATTTATTGAGACAAACAACAAATATTTTTTGTTTTAACAATCACACAATAAAAATTAAACAAATATCTCATTTCTAATGTTTTATATGCAGATTAAATAGGTCTTTATTGTATAGGTCTAA